CTCCTCCTCCTCTATACAAATGGGAGAACCCAAGATATACTATTCATGTTACAGTAAAAAAAAATGCTACAGTAGCATTAACTGTAATAAACATAAAATTGGACGTTTAGCAGATGTAGGGTACTGTAGCAATACAAAAATACTGTAGCACCCTAAAAATAAAAATTACAAAGAGCCCTTTAAAATCTAAAAATTAAAAACAAACACCTAAAATTGTAAATAGCCCACTGAAAAATCTAAAATCCCTTAAATTTTGGGAAAAAAAAGACTCCTTAAAAACCCAAAAACTATAAATAAAAAACTTAAATTTTAAATTTTATAAATAGTACCCTAATAATAAAGGGCAAAAAACTCCCTAACAATTTACAAATTACAAACAGACCCTTGAAAATACTTAGCTATTATATAGAAGGACATTGTAGACATTTAATGTTCTATTCTAATCCTATATTCCCTTATAATGACAAGTTTTGAAATATGAAATAGGTATCAGCGACATTATTAATAAATTGAACTAAAATTTTTATTAAAATTTAACTCGCTATAGTCCGCAAGATTATTATATCCATGGACTATATTGTGTTAAATTAGTCACAAGATAAAACAAGTCTCTAATCCAAACATGGCTTAAGATAGTATATATGTGTGTGTGCGTGTGTGACAACTCATTTTCCTAAATGAGCTACCAATAGATATCCACATGAGGAGACCCACCCTACTTGTCACATGAAAAGGTGTGGGTCTCACCTCCTCTATCTCTGGGTGAGTAATTTTTCTATCAAAACAGTCCACATACGAGCATACTGTTCTGACACTCCATGTGCTAAATAGGAGGGCAATTTGGTATTTGTCCTGTAACTTAGTGGCTCAAAACCACCCGCTGCATGTGAGGGGTTCTGATAGGATGTTTGGTCTCTCTTAGTAGCTCATTTTCCTAAATGAGTCGTCATCTCGTAACCATCAAACCGTCTGAGCCGCTAAGTTGGGGGAGGGGTTGTATATGTATATAGACACCCCCTCCCAACTTAGTGGCTCAGAATCACCCGTCATATATGGGTGGTTCTGATAGGATGCATGGTCTCTCTCGGTAGCTCATTTTCCTAAATAAGTCGTCACCTCATAA